GGTGGGGAGATATGTCATGTGCGCTGAACGTATAGTTTGGATCTGTACTCGGGGGACGTGGCTTTGGGCGTACCCCTCCTTCCCTGGCTCCTTCCCTCCAGACCCCTAAACTGTCCCCTGGTTGTTCTGGCAAGGGGGCTTCCTCCACCTGCTCCCCTCCTCCCCTCTCAGCAGAAGTCCATTCGCAGCGCAGGCTGAGCTGTCAACAGACAGGCAGGTCGGGGCTCCTGCTGACTCCATCCCTTAACTCAGCCCTGCTTCAGAAAAGGGGTGAGGGCTTCAGATGGGGGGGGGGCTCAGGGACCCAGATCAGGCTGGCAGCAGCCACTCATCCCAGGGGCTGCTTGAAAGAAAGGAAAAACCCCACCGCAAGGCAGGGCAGAGCTGCCACAGAAAGGCATATCAGGAACGATTGTGGGAAGCTCCCAAAGGCTGCTCCGTGATCCTAATGTGAAGTAATAAGCTGTTTACCCAGCAGGACCAGACTGGGATTAATTGAGAAAGCAGGAGAGAGATTAACAGCTATTATTTCCCTGTCGGCTTCGCTCCTCCACAAACTCTCACACTCAGCTTGCAAGGATGCAGAATTCGTTTGCAGCCAGGCCCCTGGGCTAAGCTGACCCCCCCAACCCCCCCACCCCCTATACAAGGCAAAGGGCTCCATGGGCCAAACAAAAGCACTCCCTGGACTCTGATCCTCACCATCAACCTCCCCCCCCCACAAAAAAAGAAAACACCTCACATGCAGTGACAAAACCTAAGAACACTCTCAGATCAAAACCAGGAACTGAGAAAAAGGAGCTATAAGCAGCCCACATGGCTGAACCCCTGGCCAGCCAAGGGCAATGAAGGGAGCCCAATTTACCTATAAATAATGCAGACCAGCCATGCCGTTGTTTGGACCTTTAATTTTTTTTTTAAAAAAAATTTGATATAAATTATTTGCTCAGACATGGGTTTGTCGTGTCACTGCTGAAGCTCTTCTTGGGTGTGGACCCTCAGGATCTTTGCATTCGTCCGGCCTTCATCAACCGGGTGTCTTTCAGGTGTTTTAGACTGCAATTCCCCTTCAGCCCCAAAGAGCACAGCTGTATGGTGCTAGGGCTAAATAATGGGATTTGTAGAGTTCAAAACATCTGGAGGACACCAGGTTGGTGGGTAAAAGGTAAAGGTAAAGGTAAAGGGACCCCTGACCATTAGGTCCAGTCGTGACCGACTCTGGGGTTGCGGCGCTCATCTTGCTTTACTGGCCGAGGGAGCCGGCATACAGCTTCCGGGTCATGTGGCCAGCAGGACTAAGCCACTTCTGGTGAACCAGAGCAGCGCAGGGAAATGCCGTTTACTTTCCCACCGGAGCAGTACCTATTTATCTACTTGCACTTGGATGTGCTTTTGAACTGCTAGGTTGGCAGGAGCAGGGACTGAGCAACGGGAGCTCACCCCATCGCGGGGATTCAAACCGCCAACCTTCTGATCGGCAAGTCCTAGGCTCTGTGGTTTAACCCACAGCACCACCCGCGTCCCAGCAGGTTGGTGGGTAGGGTTGCCATATTTCATAAAGTAAAAACCAGGACATCCCAAAAGTTTTTTTAAGGAAGACCCCCAAATTGTTGAGCTTGTTTTTAAGGAAGCCACCCATGATTGTGTTGCATTGTTCCCTGGACATCAATTCCACCTTTGAAATCCCAGTAACGTCCAGGAAAATCCAGATCTATGGCAGCCCTATTGGTGTGGGCTAATCTAGGGTGCTTCCAGAAGTGGGCTTAATGTTGGAAACGAGTCATTGGCGGCAGGGGGTTTGAACTTAATTATACTTTCTGAGGAAAGGATAGCATAGAGAAACAGACTGGCATTTTGATGCTGATGAAGTTGAGCAGGTGTTGCGAAGAAAGTGAATGAGCAGCAACAGCAGCAGCAGTCCCAGAATAAATACCGGGCTGGAAGTGCCCCCACTGTGAGAAAACCAGCCCCAGTCCTGTTTCTTCCTAGCTCTTGCAACTACAAAGTTCTGGGCTGAACTCAGAAGCAAGAGGAAAATGGGTCATTGGTCACAGGCATGACACTTCACAATCCCACAAAGGACCCTGCAGTCTGTCAGAAGGGCCTGCAGCAGAGTCAAACTAAAGTAGTTGTCCAGTCTAGTAGGCATGGATAGCCTTATGCAGGGGTCAGCAAACTTTTTCCGCAGGGGGCTGGTCCACTGTCCCTCAGACTTTATGGGGAGCTGGACTATATTTTTTTTGGGGGGGGGGACAAACATCGACTCTCTCCTCCCTTCTCCACAGCACCGGACGAGCCCCAGTTGCTGCTTACCTGTGCCTTGCAAGCGGCAGGGGCTGGCGGTGGTGGAGGGACAATGAGTGGCGCGAAAGGGCTGGCTCTGGAGAGGGGCTGCTTAAAATGGTGCTCAGCCAACCGCAGCTCAACAAAACTCAGCCCCCTTCCTCCTCTAGGCAGGGCAGGGAGAAGCCAGGAGGAGGGAGGGAGGAGGTGACGTCATGGTGCGAGGGAGGGGGGGAATGGCGCAGCCCGAATGATCAGAATCCCCACACCGATCCATGCGGCGATTCCCGGACTATCCGTGGGTCGGATCCAGAATGCAGTTGGGCTGGATCCAGCCCCCAGGCCTTAGTTTGCCTACCCATGGCCTTATCCATCCATCTGTCCAAACCCCTTTTGAAGGCAACACAAAATATGGTGGCCTTTAAATACTGACAATGTGGCCCAAGTGTGTGTGGACTACAGTTCATCAGATGCATGAAGTATTATTCTGAGAGTCAGGCACACACACCCACACACACACACAGTACAAGTTTTGGGGTTGGGGGAATAAACAGTGGAGTTAGAAAGAAAGGGAATGCAGAAAAGATACAGGTAGCAATCATTCCCTTATTAATGGTGACTGTTCACAAACACACAAACCAATAGTTGATAACACAGACATTCTGGCATTGGGAAGCCAATTAGCGCACGCATGTGCTTCAGTCCACAAGTATTATCATAAAACCTCTTCAATCATTGCAATGGTCTAAGGACTGCAATCTCTCTCTGAAGTTCCTGTGTTCGTAGATAGCCACCTTTTAGTCAGTTACAGATACAGTCATACCTCGGGTTGAATACGCTTCGAGTTGAGCATGTTCGAGTTGCGCTCTGCGGCAACCTGGAGCGCGTTACTTCCGGGTTTCGCTGCTTGCGCATGCACAGACGCTCAAAATGACATCACGTGCATGCGCAGAAGCAGCGAAAAACAACACGCGCATGCGCAGACGTGCCATCGCTAATTACGTTTGCTTCTAGATGCAGATGGGCTCCGGAACAGATCCCGTTCGTATCTAGAGGTACCACTGTAGTCAGTTACAGAGTGTCCTAGTAGTGTCAAAACAGGGTCTACAATATTCACCGATACCTTGCTGGCTGGTGGGTTTCCCACATTTTTTCTCAGAATTCCTTTACACATTCCTGGACTGAGCAATGATTGAGCTCCAAGCAAGCCTGGAATAGGAGGAGTTGCTACTGCCCTAGAGAAACTAACAAGCAACTCCTTTCAGACTTTCAGATTTCTCTTCCTCCCACAAGATGGCAGACTCACAACATGTTAGAAGACCCAGGACAGAAGGAACTGCAAAACTAGCTGCAGGATTCCATGAAACTGAAGAGTGAGGATGAAAGGAGGGCAGGTTGCTTAGGAGTTGCTAGTCCAGGACAAAGATTGATGAAGACTCTTTACAGCTAAATCTTAGTAAAGTTAAAGAGAGGCTGTAGCTGATCACTGGCCTCCCACTTTTAAGCAAAAGCACAGAAATCTCTAGTACCGTATTTGGGGAACCACAATATTTCAACTGCAAAGCCTAGCAGAGATTCATGGACAGCTGTGAGTCCACGATGACTCCCAGGCTGCACACCTGGTCCTTCAGGGGCACAGTGACCCCATTCAGGACCAGGGATGTTTCTTGTGAAGCAAACCGACTTCCCCAAATGCTAAGATTCAGCCTAAATTCTCAGAGCATGACTTTATTACCCTCGGTAGCTTCACCCCGTCCTTTCAATCATCCCAGTGACTTGAAATGTTTTATACTGTGATGCCAATAAAGGTATTTGATTTGATTTGATTCCCAGGCTGAATGCTCATTAAATGGGTCACTGTGCAGGATTTCCTTCTCAGGAATTTAAAGGTGCCACATGAAAGGGGCACATAACAAACACCCCCCCAAAACTCAGGAAATTCCAGGCAGGTGATGCCTTAGGATCTTATGCTGCTGTGTACATGCCATCATAATAAGATGCCCATTTTTACCCTTACCTGCGTGAGGCAAAATGGGAACATGCCACCCTGCGCTGACGCTGGCACCACCAGACCCCACTGCCCCACCACTGCTGAAGCTTTCCTTACCTCCACGAGGTCTCATGAGATTTTGGTGAGCTCTTGCAAGATCTCATCAGAAACCAGTTTGCCTACCACCACTTCTTCTCCGCTGCCAGTGGAGGCAGCAGGGACTGCCGCTGCTCAAGGTGGTCACCAGGGATGCCAACTTGAATAAAATATAGTAGGGACCCAGGTAAGCCCTGCCCCACATACACGTACCTTGGGTTGAATGTGCTTCAGGTTGAGTGCTTTCGGGTTGCGCTCTGCGGCAACCTGGACGTAACGGAGCGCGTTACTTTCAGGTTTCGCCGCTCGTGCATGCGCAGATGCTCAAAATGACGTCACGCGCATGCATGGAAGCAGCAAAACGCGACCCGCACACTCGCAGATGCGCCATCGCATCTTACGTTCTATTCAGGATGCGAATGGGGCTCCGGAACGGATCCCGTTCACATCCCGAGGTACCACTGTAGTTGATCACATGATGCAGCGTACACTCACTTTTTGAATGGTAATGCCCAACAACCTGGGGGGGACAGCCCCCTCAAATATTTTATTGTGGAGTCTGAAGCCCCCACGGCCCTAAGGAGTTGGCTCCTATGGCGTTCGCCTCACCTTGTGGGCTGACCCTGCTTACCTGAGTACCCTGGCAGGCAGTGACACTGATAGCTGTTCACCAGATCCACACAGCTCCCTCCGTTCTGACATGGTTGGGATGTACATTCATCAATGTTGAAGAAGCAAGTCTCTCCTTCAAACATGTCAAAAAGAAATTATGTTAGATGTCCCAACTATTACCTCACCGATTCAATAATCTACACATAATTCAGTTAAGCTTCACTAATGACAAATATACAACAGGTGAACTATTTTTTAGATCCACCTTTTCATTGTTGTTGTTGTTATTTCAATTTATTAGTCACTTGCCACATAAGAGTTTCCAAATGACTTATAAAATTTTAAGAGAATAACACAGAATCAGAAAAAATAACAAAGCATTGCAACAGTAAGCGCTGAATGGTAAGAGCCTATAAAATAGAACCAATAAAATGGAAAAACCACAGCAGCAAGAACACATCATCCGTAGACAGCAAATCATCATAATCTGGCACTGTCATTATTTGGGGCTGATTAATTATCTCTTGGTTTTGTTTTTGATGAGCTTTTCATTAATATATTTGTGTGCCTTGTCTATTTTTGGATGCTTTGCATGGGTGTATTAAGGCATCTTTCCCCTTGATTTTCAGCTGTGGTGTAGCACTGTGAATTACTTAGTTTTAAAAAACTACAAAATAGAAGTAAAGCCAAGATGATGCACACGCTCAGAGCCCCAGGTCATAGAATTTACAAAGCTCTTTGATCAAGCATCTCCTCTGGAGCATTCAGAATGAAACATGCGCTCCACCTGGCAGTGTACTACTTACCATCAAAGCCTGGCTGGCACCTGCAAATGAATCCAGCAGCTTCCTGGTAGGTGAAGTGCAGGGGGAAGTCTATGTGATCTCCGTAGTAGCTCTGATTGGACCGTTCAACGCACTGGCCCCCATTGAGGCAGGGCACAGCGGCACATTCGTCTACATCAACCTCACAGTGTTCCCCTACGTATCCTGGGGACAAAAAAGCAAAGGGGGCAGGAGGCCAGGTGAGCTGACATCTGCCTCATTTGTCACAAAGCAATGGGCTAGATCTAGGAACCCCCTAACCCAGGGGTTGGCAAGGTTTACTTCACCTGGGCCAGTTCACTCCAGCGGAGATCCCTCCATGGGCTGGATCGTGCGCGCGCCTGTGATTTCCGGCGCCTGTGCAGACACAATTTCCGGCACCACGGAAGCGAGTCCCTGTGCCATGCCAGTTTAGCGCAGCACGTGGGGACTCACCAAGTGGGTGGCTCATTTCGGGGGCAGCTTGTGAGCTGGTTAAACGACCCCGGTGGGCCGCTTGGTTGGGCCTTAGGTTGCCCATCCCTGCTCTAACCCAAACACTCCATGCTCAGGGTCATTCTGTCCACCTAAAGAGATGCCAACAAGACGTCTTCCTTCTCTAGCAAGTTATTCTCAGGGGTGCTTTGCTCAATTGTGGCGGCAGGGGCATACCTAGGGGTTGGGCAGGTGGGTCCCAGCCAAGGGTCCAGGCCCCAGGGGGCGCAGAAACAATGCCACTTCACTCTGGCTTGGGCTAGGAGCCTGCCTGCCTGCCTGCCCGTGTACTCCCTGGCCACTCCTCTGCTGTTCTGTGCAGCCAAGTGAGTGCATAGGCTCCTCTGGGCTCCTTACTCAGCAGAGGAATCTGGTCAATGGTTTAGGCTACCACAAAGGATAGAGGTAGAACAGAACAGACCCAACCCTGATGGCCACAGATGATTACTGACATAAAGCAAAAGGTGCCGAAAAGCAAAAATTTTAAACAGCCTTATTAGAAAAACTAACCAATAAACTGAAACTGAGACGGGGACAAATAGAAGATGCCTTCACCCTGGCATGGTTCCTCTTTATCACATACACAGCCTAACAAGACAACGACAAGTATCCGCTGACGGCATACAAATCAATCTGGCTAACCTGATCCAAACACACACACACACAAAACCAAATCTCACTACAGCCAACCAAAGACAACCAACCACTCCCTAGGCCAGGGGTCTGCAACCCGCGGCTCCGGAGCCGCATGTGGCTCTTTTACACCTTTGCCGCGGCTCCGGGGCGGATACTAGCAAGGGGAGGAGGCGCATTGTGCGCCCCGACACTCCCCACTGTGGCAGGCGCTGTACTGGCTGTGACGTCGCATGGGGGCAGTGCATGTGTTAGTCACGCACCGTCCTGACGTCACCTTCCCGGTTTTGCAGCTCCCAGGTTTTTTTTCTTCGGAAACGGGTCCAAGTGGCTCTTTGTGTCTTAAAGGTTGCAGACCCCTGCCCTAGGCCAACCCTCAACCTCTCTCACCACCAAGGAAATACAACAAGCGAAAATCCACACAAGTGACACTGACACAAAATCCCACACATACACTAAGTAGAAGAATAGAAGCATTGTCACCCCACCCCACTCACAATTCCCCCCTCTCCCTCTTTCTCCCTCATTTCCTCCTAACCTAATACTGCACACAACATTAATGAAACTGATCTGTAGAAAACACAACTTGAAAAAAGAGACAATGCACATATTTTTGTAAACCAAGAAATATTTAATAAAAATATATTTTTTTATTAACAAAAAGCAAAAAATTGAGTTTCTGGTTCATGGTCTCTTCTGGCTTTGGAGGCACCAATACAGCTCCTTGTCAAGGGTGCAAGGGGGCCTAGGTATGCCTCTGGGTGGTGGTGGTCACAGACTGAATTTGGAAGTGTCCACAGTCAGCGTATAGTGAGTGGAGACTTACCAAACTACGGAACCTTTCATTCCAGTCCCCTGGCTATGTGCTTATCACCATCACCCGTTCTTCCATTATGACTTCCCTCAAAGAATTCTGGAATTGTAATTTCATGTGTATGTGAAGAATTCATTCATTCATTCTCTCTCTCTCATATCCAGAGCTTCCCAGCTCAGAACTACATTCTCTGTAGATTCCTGAGAATGATTTGAGCAGGTCGGTGGGGTGTAGCCAATACTAGTCCTACTCAGAGTAGATCCATTGCAAAGAGTAGGCCCATTTGTCTTAATGGGTCTACTTTGATAAAAGTTAGGTAAAGGTAAAGGGACCCCTGACCATTAGGTCCAGTCATGACCGACTCTGGGGTTGCAGCGCTCATCTTGCTTTATTGACCAAGGGAGCCGGCGTACAGCTTCCGGGTCATGTGGCCAGGATGACTAAGTCGCTTCTGGAGAACCAGAGCAGCGCACAGAAACACCGTTTACCTTCCCGCCAGAGCGGTACCAATTTATCTACTTGCACTTTGACGTGCTTTCGAACTGCTAGGTTGGCAGGAGCAGGGACTGAGCAATGGGAGCTCACCCTGTCGCAGGGATTCAAACCGCCGACCTTCTGATCAGCAAGTCCTAGACTCTGGGGTTTAAGGGACACCACCCGTGTCCCTTAAAACCGTGCCTTAAAATCCGTAGTTAAAACCGTGGAACACTATTGCACAGGAGGCAGTGATGGCCACAAACCTAGATGACTTCAAAAGAGGAATAGTAAAATTCACAGAAGAGGAGAAGGCTATTGCCTGCATCCCTTTTTTAGTTAGTTGGAGATAAAACAAAGCGTTGTGCTCATACATCACTGAACACAGATTCATGGAGTCACACAGCATGAACTGGCACGACACCCATCCCTGCCTGCATTATAGAAGGACTCCTGCTGCGTAGAAGATATGCTGGCAATCAGAACAAGGAATGGACAGACCTGCCTACTTTGGTTTCTCCTGGCTTCTCATTTTAGTCATCTTCACCACATTGTTCCATCAGTTTTCAACTTAAAAAAACCCACAACTATTTAAAACATTGTTTTAAATGTCCCCTAATTCCCTATTACAATGTGTATATTAATTTCACTAGTATTATATCCACACTTTCCCCCAATACATACTGTTTTGGAGGCAGGCATTGAAGAACTGCATCATGAATTTTGGAGAAGCACAGATTTCAAAGCTGTATTTCATTTCAAATATTGTATTGAGACCTGAGCATTAAATAGGTCTGCAGTAATGCAAACAAAACCAAATCTCGTTCTCCCGCTCCCAAATCACTATTCAGGACCCAGAGCCAGACTTCTGGGAAGGCAGCATGGAAGGTCAGTCACCCTTGTTGAGATAATTGAGGTGATTAACAACAGCTACTGTCTATTATATTATCTCTGATGAACAGAGATAACAGGGATTAACTTCCAAATGCTCTGGAAGGGTAACTACCCACCATGGAACCAATAAACCTAGGAGGAACACAGACAGGATGAGTGACGAGTGGAAGAACCATAAAGGTAAAGGTAAATTGGCTTTATTGCCTCACTTTATTGGCCGAGGGAGCCGGCGTACAGCTTCTGGGTCATGTGGCCAGCATGACTAAGCCGCTTCTGGCGAACCAGAGTAGCGCACGGAAATGCCGTTGACCTTCCCACCAGAGTGGTACCTATTTATCTACTTGCACTTTGACGTGCTTTAGAACTGCTAGGTTGGCAGGAGCAGGGACCGAGCAACGGGAGCTCACCCCGTCGTGGGGATTTGAACCGCCGACCTTCTGATCAGCAAGTCCTAGGCTCTGTGGTTTAACCCACAGTGCCACCCGTGTCCCTTGGAAGAACCATAACTTTGCCCAAATACCACATAATAGCCCTAGAGGTCAGTCCTTAGGGCAATGACCAGCAAAATCAATTTTCTTCATTTATTTTTGAAACTCCTATAAATTACTACTAAGACTATCTCACTGTCAGTTAAAATGTTCATTTGATATACGACCCGGCGGTTGGCTTACGAGGAGACATCATTAAGGGGCTAAAAATGAATAAAGTAAGAAGCATGCTCTTAAGATACATACTGAATGAAGTTTTTCAAACAGCTAAGAGAGTCTCCAACTCTGAGAAAATTTTATCTCATTGTGCTCTATTCCCAATTTTCCATCTCACTGGCGAATGTGCTGTTTATAATGTGAAACCACATGGTTGCCTGCTATAGGAATTTGAGGCATGCAATCTCAGATAAACAAGAAGTGTGTGGATTTCTGAGAGAGTACCCAGGGTGGTGAAAGTGCTGAAACATACCCCATTGACTATCACTGTTGTACAGAAATTATTTGATGAACAATTGGAAGAAATTAGAGCAGAGAGGTGTAAAATGATTAACAAAAATGCCCTGGACAAAGCTGAGGCCAGATAAGTTACAGAGTACTTGGGGGCTTGGGGAAATACTGATGGAGAATTGCCAGAAGAGGAAAATAGAATGGTAAAGTTAGAGGCAATAGATGATGAAATTGAGTGGACCTCTATACAGATGCCTGAAGGAGTGAGATAGCTAAATGCTGGAGGAGGGGAAGGTATCCAGGGATGGAGAGACTAAGAAATATCCTGAGCTGGCAGTTGAGGAAGAAAGGATTCTACATTTGGATTGAATTTAGAAGAAAAAGCTATTAAGCCTCTTGCAACACTTTTGGGAAAGGAATGGCAAATGAGGAAATGGAAACCATGTTTATATATATATAAATGGATGAAAAACCATGGCCAACAGGAAATGCATTTGGAAGATATGGATCTGGGTGTGAATTAATGACTTTACAATAAGTAAATAATTATGGATCATTGTCTTAATACATAACAACAGTAAATAAACTCTTGAAGGAATAAAGAACAAGGACTGAATGTTTCTTAATATTGAAGGTAAAGCTGTGATGTTGGATTGGGGGAAGACTATTGTTGACTTTTATCCATAATAATAATAAGAGAACCTCTTTTGGACTCCTTGCCTCAAAAGAAAAATTAACAAACCTGAGATGCCCAGTCAGGAGACTGGCAAACATTGCCTAGCAGAGGGGGGGTCAGCTGGATTGAGCACTCAGCTGTTCTGAAAAACTCTTGTATATATAATTGGCAGAGGGATAACAGGAAGTCCTTTTTACTTATTTCTTTTTTAAAAAAAAATCATATTTTCCCCCTTTTGTACTCCTTCATTATTTCCTTTAATACCCTTATCTTTTTGTTCTGTTTCCTTTTCCTTTCCTTTTCTGTTTTGATTTTGGGTTCACTCTGCTTTGATTTTGTAATGTTTTGTGTTGTCCTCTACTCAGGGTTAAGGAGGGGTTAACATGCATATGAAGGTGATGGATAGATGACAGTGCGTGAGAGGTAGGGAGGTGAAGATCTCCCAGGGTGGAAGGATGGGAGAAGCAAGAGAATCTCCCAGGTGAGAGCTGAGAGGGTTCGGCTCTCTCTGTGTGGGACAAGTTAAGATTTACCTGTGAAAGAGGACTTTGTATTTCTTTTTTTCTTCTTTCTCTGTTTTGTTTTTGTTTAAATAAGTTCACTTTGTATTGTAATGTACTATGAAAGGTCTTAATAAAATCTTTTACGAGAAGGAGAAAAGGACCCAGAGCCCTGCAAGTATCTTGTGTGATGGTTTCAAGCTGACTTCTGGGACAATATTAGGATAATGAATAAAGGCAACAGAGCCTGGGAAAGCTTTTGCAAAGTTAGTAGAGCCTGGAGGTTCACTGCCAGATTTTCACAGCATTTGGGGATGAGTTTACTGCTAGGCTGAAAGTCACAGGGACATGTTGACTTCACTTTTGGAAACAGCTTTTGGACTATAGGAGAACAACACAAAGACTTCACCCACCTGGCCAGCAAACACAGCTGTAGCATCCAACCCCTTCCAGGCAGGTACCGCCATTCTGGCAAGGCTGGGAGGCACATTCCAAGATATCCAGCTCACAATGTTGCCCTTCAAAGCCCGTGTTGAGGCAGTCACACTGGTAGCTGAGGAAGAACAACAGCACAGAGCCATGATTCATGGTTAGGGAGCCTTTGCCACCACCCATGGAGAAAGACCCTTTTCGGGAAATGTTGGAAGATTCTGGACAGATGAAAGGAAGTACAGTGGTACCTCTGGATGAGAACGGGATCCATTCTGGAGCCCCGTTCGCATCCAGAAGCAAATGCAACCCACATCTGTGCGTCTGCACGTGCACAGGTTGTGATTCGCCACTTCTGCGCATGTGCATGACATCATTTTGACCGCATGCGCATGCGCAAGTGGCGAAACCCGGAAGTAATACTCTCCATTACTTCTGGGTCGCCGCAGCAATATTGGACTAGATGGGCCACTGGCCTGATCCAGTAGGGTCTTTTTAGGTTCTTATGTCTTCTACATTATGCAATTCCACATTTCAGTTCTTGAGAACTCAGGAGTAAATAGTTGTGGTCTTCATTCCAAATAAAGTGGGCCTTGCAACGAGGGAGGGGAACCCCTGCCCATTTTTGTTTCTCTCCATTTCTTAATTTTCCAGCCTGAAATTCAGTTGTCCACATCTCCACATCAGTTTGAGATTTATTTATTTGCTGCATTTTTTTAAAAGGTCTTCATGAAATTTCATCAGCATTTGCTTCAGATTTCTCCTACTGTACATATTTTTGAATAGAATTTTGCCCACAACATGCATTTTTGCAAAGCAGTTCCCCTTAATAACACATATTTTTTAATACTATTTTCAGTAATATATGCATTGATAGGGACACTTTTCCAAAGCATAAGCATTCTTGCTCACATTACTGTGAATTTCAGTTTGCAAATTGTATTGGAAAGTGTGAATTAGGGAGTTTCACCTATAAATGAGAACTGAATTGAATTTCCCTCCATCCTTACCTGCCACAAAATATCACAGCATAGACTGTTGCTCTTGAGGAGTCCATGCATACCCTCCCAGCCTCCTCCAGCCCAGCTTCCCCTTCTCTCTCCCCCACCCCCACCCCACAGAGAATCATTCAATATTCCACAGACCTTGAACAAGCTCAGCCCCCACTGGGCCATTCAGAGTGATTTCCCCACCATCACCTTTGTACTATGTACTGCAAACCTTAAAGGTAAAGGTAAAGGGACCCCTGACCGTTAGGTCCAGTCGCGGATGACTCTGGGGTTGCGGTGCTCATCTCGCTTTATTGACCAAGGGAGCCGGCGTACAGCTTCCGGGTCATGTGGCCAGCATGACTAAGCCGCTTCTGGCGAACCAGAGCAGCGCACGGAAACGCCGTTTACCTTCCCGCCAGAGCAGTACCTATTGATCTACTTGCACTTGGACGTGCTTTCGAACTGCTAGGTTGGCAGGAGCAGGGACCGAGCAACGGGAGCTCACCCCGTCATGGGGATTCGAACTGCCGACCTTCTGATCTGCAAGTCCTAGGCTCTGTGGTTTAACCCACAGCGCCACCCGTGTGCAAACCTCAGTGTCTCCCTAAGCCTCCCTGTTCTGCTGGAGGTGGTAAACTATGTCATTCTCCCCCTGAAGACGGGAATTCATTTATGTTAAGGGGTTCCTCATATATGTCTACTGTTTGAGAAAGTTCTTCTGATGTGTTATGTGAGAATAAAAATGGTTCCCACTCCAGCATCATCTGCATCAAAAGCAGGTAAGGCAAGTACCATATTTTTTGCTCTATAAGACTCACTTTTTCCCTCCTAAAAAGTAAGGGGAAATGTGTGTGCGTCTTATGGAGCGAATGAAGGCTGCGCAGCTATCACAGAATCCAGAACAGCAAGAGGGATTGCTGCTTTCACTGCACAGCGATCCCTCTTGCTGTTCTGGCTTCTGAGATTCAGAATATTTTTTTCTTGTTTTCCTCTTCCAAAAACTAGGTGCGTCTTGTGGTCTGATGCGTCTTATAGAGCGAAAAATACGGTAATTAAGTCTGTGCACAAACCAGATGACAATCTGGGTCTCTTGGAAATAAAAATAAGAACTTTGGGGGAGACAGAGATGGCATTTGCCCTCAGGGGGTGTTAGATGCTGCCTTCCATGCCCCACCCTCCTGCTGCAGGAACCTTCGTGGTGGAGGTGCTGGCAGATGAGCAGTGACACGTTTCTGGGCTTTTGAGTCTAGGTATAAAAAGGGGGTGCTGAATATTGCCTTGTACGGCATTTTACTTATATTGTGGGGGGCTAGACTACATGACCCTTGGGGTCCCCTCCAGCTCTACCATTCTATAATTCTATTGAGTCAGACCACTGGGCACCTTCTAGCTCAGCATGATCTGCAATGACAAGAAGCAGCTGTTTGGCGCTTCAGACAGAAGTCTTTCCCAAACCTACCTGGAAATTTCATGGGTTGGGACCTTTTACATGGAAAGCAGGTGCTCTATCACGGAGCAAGTTTTATTTCCCAATTGACAACATCCCAGAATAATACCTTCAGCTCTGGGGGCAACTTTTGAGTGTCATCAGTTGATCTAACGGTAAGCTTTACACTCAGCTAACTTTCTTCTGCTATATTTTAAATGAATTGTTGAATTGTTAGTGCTGCAGTGGCAATACTAAGAATTACTATTATACTGTACTCTTGAGTTTAGACAGCTTCTTTTCTGCAAACGCAGTTTAGCCACAAATGCATCTGTGGAAACCATGGTATATACTGTAGATAAGCTGGGGGGGGGGCAGGGTTGGGAGATAACGGGAGCCATATCAAATCCTGCTGGGTGAAGGCAGAGCCACTCACCTGTTGATGAGGTCGAGGCACCTTCCCCCGTTGAGACACGGGTGGCTCTGGCACTCATTGACGTCCACCTCACACTGTGCTCCCTCATACCCAGGTGTACACGAGCAGGTGAAGAACCCAACGTGGTCACTGCAGGTGCCGCCGTTCCAGCAAGGGCCCGACTCACATTCATCAACCTCCACTTCACAGTTCACACCTTGGTTGGAAGAGCAGAAGAAAGAATGGTGAGTTGACAGGAATATTTACATGCCACACTCTTAAATTTTTCAGTGCTTTGGAACTTTAACTTCCTTGTTCACTTTACAGGAGAACAGAAGCCCAACAAGTCTGAAGGGACATAGGAAGCTACCTACTGCCTCATCTAGATCAGTATTGTTTACTCTGACTGGCAGTGGCTCTCTGCAGAGTCTCAGGCAGAAGTCCTTTCCCACCCCACCCCACAGGAGAGGCCAGGGTTCGAATCTGGCGGCAGGTGCTAGGCCACTTGTCATGGAACTGCCATCAGCTCAGAGGCAAGAGATGGAAGGGCAGTTGTGTTATAGGGAGCCTCCGAAAATCTTGCGAAGCAGTTCCTCTTCCGGGGGGGAGGAGGTGCAGGGACCAGGGGATGCTAGGGAGAGCCTCAACACCGAGCCTGAGCAAACCGGAGAGGCGGGAAGTACGCCCCTGCCAGCGCCCATTCTGTGCAGTAGTCTTCGGCGCAGGGAGGGGCAGAAAAGGCTGGGGGTGACGCGACTTTTATGCTGGGGGAGGTACAAAGACCGACCACTCCCAGATTCTGCTAGTGACTGAGCCAGACATGAACTTACAACGCTCTTCACTGTAAATAGTTTGCACCAAGAATAAAGTCTGGAAAAGACAGGTCGGAGTCTTGCCTGTTTACTCTCGAGCAACCACACCAGCATCTGACACCACTGAACTAGGACCCTTCCTCCAGAGCGAAGTTCTAATGCCCCTTCACTGGCCAAGCCAGCTCAGCACTGTGCCATTACCTCCAATTTCAAAGGTGGGAAACTGAGCCTAAGAGAGGATTTGACCTGCTCAAGTTGTTGCAGGGGTGAAATTCAGGGAGCCACACCTACATGCTATGTGTGGGTGGTGCCTCCAGTCTGAGTGCACTGGAAACCCCAGCATGGACCTCTCTGCTGCCAGGAGGGATATCCATCCAGAAGCGAGGGTGCCCCCCATAAACTCCAAATGAGATGGGAGTTGTGTAGGAGTTAAGTGGGTGCTATGGGGCCTGATTGGGCTCCTGTAGTTTTCTCCTAGTTGTAGCTGCTGAGTGGAACTTTCCCCCCAGTCTAGTGATGTTGCCATAAAGTGAGGTTTTGTTTCAAGGCCTGGCTATTTCCCCTCTGAACCCCCAACTCAATAATGAGGTAAGATGCACCCTGGCCAAACTTTAAGATGGCCTTGAAAACACACTAAGGGCTTGTCCACACTTCCGCATGTTCCGCATGTTGTCTAGGAAGCATGTGTCTGAGCAGTTTTCTGCTTGTCCTGTCCTTTGTAGGCTCCACCCTTGCCTCTCTGCTGTCCCCCGGAAAACCTTCTTTTTAGCACTGAATCAGAGCAAACATCAATGTGGAGAAAACTTGATTGATATTTGTTGTGATTCAGAGGTAAACACTGGGTTTTCCCATGGCAAAGCGGCAGGACAAGTGGAATTCTGCATGAGCCCTAAGTCTTGGCAGTTTTATGGAAATGTTTTAATTGGTCTGCAGAGACTCTGGTGCAACATCTGTTTGCTTATGTTGTGGTTTTATGTGGGTTCTAAGCCGACTCTTTTCATATGCTGGCTATTTTTAAGTTTATTGGGTTTTTAAACAGTGAGTTCTTTTGGAATTGCTCACTGAATATTGTTTAGTATTTATGTTTGCCACTTTGCAATATGCCACATTTTACTGAGAAAGCAGAATAAAAATCTTATAAATCAATGCATTTCGTTACTATTTCTTTAAAAATAGTGCTTTTGTCTAAGCAGTCATTAAGAATATTAAAGCAGTGTATGAAAGACAAAACTGCCCAATGCATTATATGTGATTTTTTTGTGATTGAGTGTCTGTGTTTAATTGCTTCTTCATTATTGCTTTTCTTTTTACATTTTTAGCTGCTTCTATTTTATCTGTAAGATGCCTTGAGTCCCAATCTTGGGAAAAAGGCAGGAAATAATGATGATGATGATGATGATGATGATGATGATGATGATACAATAACATACACCAACACAGTTTCTAATCTCCACCATGACTGAACAAGTGTTGCAACCAATACTGGGAATCAGGTGGGTGATTCAGGTGGGTAAATAGGCCCCTGTTCTTTCCAGAAACACTTCCTGAGGTTTTTGGTTACCCATTGCAAGGCAGCAACCATTTAGGTGCTTCTGCAGACCTAGTGAGCCTAAGCAGTGGGCCGCTAAGGAGCTGCACAGAAACAGCTATTTGCAGGCTTGGGGGAAGGCTCACAAAATATAAGAGGGGTTCTGATGTAGGCTGCCCTGTCTCTGGCATCATGAGCTGCTGTGGTTTAGCATCAGGCCTGTGAATACATCTCTGTGCTGGCACCTGCCAGTCCACCTAATCCTAGTTTCTGGCAGAGTTCTGCTTCACAGCAGTCGTGGCTACGCTTAATCCACAAGGAATGTGCAGGCCCCCTAATCTGGTGGATCAAGAGCTGTCGAACATTCAGCAAACTTCCTTGCATCCCATCTTGCCAAAGAAGGCTCGGCCAAATGTCCGTGGCCACAACCCCATGTTTGTTGTGGGGGCATGCGAAGTGTGACTGGGTGGCATATGGATGTCAGACAAGGCTATGGCCAGGTGTCAACACACAGCATGCTTCAGTCACCAGGGAGGAGGTGGCCCTACAAAAGGACGCCTTCTCTTGCCATTGCCAGATCACGCTACGTTTCAGCCAAATTTAAGCTTGTGGGTCTGAATATTTTGTTTCAAAATGCTGTTTGCCTCCCATCCAAGCAGCAATTGCCTCGTTTGAGATGTCAGATATGCAAATATTTTTAATCATCATGTTGCATCTTTCCTATGACAGATGCAAAGTTTGGCCACAGAATCAAGAGAGTTGAATAAATCCAGTGCTGGATAATCCCTAACAAACGTCCGTCCAGACTCAGCCTGAAACCCCCTGTCCCATGTAAATTGGTTCCACTTGTTCCTCCTAATAGTCAAGCACAATCAGCCCTCCTCTAGCTAAAGTTCCACCACTGACCTTCCTTCTGGGGCCCTGCCACAAGTCCTTGCCTTCGTCTTTGCAAAGGCCATTCAGGTATTTGAAACATAGTGATAACATCCGCTTTAAAAATAGCTCAGTGCCCGCCTGCTGCACCAAGCTTGGACAACAAAAGGGCATTGAGAACCATTCTTGCCCAATGCTTCCTGCCCCTCCCCTGCAGGCTTGGCGAAAGGTACAGCCCAGCATCTTTGGATGGAAGGCCAGTTTCCCCAGCTTGGTGCCCTCCAGGTGCTTTGGACTACATTGGCTCCCAGTACATTTCCGAGCACAATTCAAAGTGTTGGTGTTGACCTTTAAAGCCCTAAACGGCCTCGGTCCAGTATAGCTGAAGGAGCATCTCCACCCCCATCGTCCAGCCCGGACACTGAGGTCCAGCTCCGAGGGCCTTCTGGCGGTTCCCTCCCTGCGAGAGGCCAAGTTACAGGGAACGAGGCAGAGGGCCTTCTCAGTGGTGGCGCCTGCCCTGTGGAACGCCCTCCCTTCAGATGTGAAGGAAATAAACAACTTTTAGAAGACATCTGAAGGCAGCCCTGTTTAGGGAAGTTTTTAACCCGTGACATTTTAATGTATTTTTTAATCTTTGTTAGAAGCCACCCAGAGTGGCTGGGGAGACCCAGCCAAATGGGTGGGGTACAAATAATATATTATTATTATTATTATTATTATTATTATTATTATTATTGCTCACATCAGCTCCAGCCAGAAGGGCTGTACTTTTGCCAGCCCCAAACTAATATAGCCAATCTGACAAAGGGGCACCAGGTTGGTGAAAACGTTGTTGCTTCTTTTTTGTGGGCTGCCTTTTTTGTCTTTCTTTCTGTCTGTCTGTCTGTCTGTCTGTCTGTCTGTTGCATTAATACCCCACCTTTTTCTCCAAAGGAGTTCAAGGTGGGGTACATGGTTGTCCCTCTCCTCATCTAATCCCCACAACAACCCTGTGATTTAGGTTATACTGCGATATCTTTTTTGAAAAGATATCTATCTATATTCTGCAAATTAGATGATATAGATAGATAGATGATAGATAGAGAAACTACAAATACGGAAATATTTGAATGCTTCTTTGATTGTCCTTTGGTTCTTCCTCCCGTACTTGCCACCCTCTCCTGCCACACCCTCTGAGAACCCCCTGCTCTAACCACTACACCACACTGTCTTTGATTCTGATGATCCAAAGTGGCTGAGGGGTGGGCAGGTGTCCTTTGTTTTTTAAAGCATTTGCCGCGTTTGCTTCTGTACCTTCCAGGCATCCTTACCCATTTTTGTTCTCAAAACCCCTACTTACTCATCCTGAGTCGGTGTGGGAGGGCGCAGAGAAAGAAAAGGTGGAAACCAGGAATCTACTTAAAGGGAGTGAAATCAAGATGGATGGAATTTCATTCTCTTCTCTCTCCCCCCCCCCCTCAATTTTCTCAGATTCCTCTTGTTGTTCTCCTTGAGTAGAGCAGACTTTTCACTGCCAAGAAAGCGCTTGCCTCCCACACCACTGGGGGCAGGGTGTGTGTGACTGGGAACCAGCAGAAGTGCAATCTGATGCTGCTGCAGCCTCTCCCCCCCCCCCCGCCTCCCCACCCTGTCCCATCCCACTATCTTCAGCAAGTCACCCTGACATTCCTTCACAGCAATGTAACTCCTGTAACAGCCCCTGCTGTTTATTCCGCAAGGAAGAGCAAGGTCAGGAAGAGCGCCTGCGTACTGGCTGGTACCAGGTACAGGCAGGGGCCACTGGGGATTGGATTCCACCCTGATAGCAGAGGTGGGGGTGCAGACACTGAGGAAAGACCCTTGTGGGAGCTGCTTCAGCACAAAGCTGGCAAGTGGGGAGTGAATCAGAGCCCATGGAGATGGTTTGGTGTCACAGAACAATCTGGGCTGTAGAAAGGAATTCAAGGGCCCCTTGAACTGCCCATCCTTAAGATATTGGCTGGCTTGAGTATTCACAACAGGGACGGATGGCCAACTTGGGGGCTTCCGGGTGCTGTGCGCTACAACTCCCATCAGCTCCAGCAGACAGCATGGGATGATGGGAATTGTAGTCCAGCAACAACATCTACCCTCCAGGAGTCACCACATTGGCTACCTGGGACCGAAGACATTTCTGATCACAGGTGTCCCCTATGACAAGCCATCCTGCTCTCTGCTCCATCATCCCAGGACCACCATCCATGTATAACTAAGTTGCTGCTGTTAATTACCCACCCTTCACCCAAAGGTCCCATGGTGAGTTAAATAAGTAGATAGACAGGAAGATGTTCTCCCTTGTGATCCTGTGGGAAGATGCTGGTGACCCATGAAGTGCCCTTAGTGCACTGGGGGAACCTCAGGCAAGGGGGAGTGAATGTGGCCCTCCAAGCTTCCCTGCCTGGCCCCTGGGATCCTCCCAAGGCTATAAGCCGCACTGGCCATGCCCCACTGCCTCTTTGCATCCTCCTGCACAAAGGTAACATGCGCTACTGTTGCCCCACCCACTTTTGCATTTGGCATGTGCCCCTTCCCCTGCAGTTGCCCCAAAGGAACACAGCCCTCAACCTGCAAGTAGTACCTGTGTAGCCAGGTAGGCACTGGCAAGCATAGTGGTCCATCAGGTTGAGGCAGGTGCTGTTGTGTTGGCAAGGCCGGGAGGCACACTCGTTGATGTCTATTTCGCAGCGGTAGCCCTGGAAGCCAGGCACACAGAAACAACTGTACTCGTTAGCCCTGTCCAGGCAGATGGCCCCATTCTGGCACGGGCTAGAGGCACACTCGCCCACATCCTCCTCGCAGTGGGCACCGCTGTGGCCAGGTTGGCACCGGCAGCTGTACTCCCCAGCACTCTCCACGCAGGTGCCGTTGTTGCGGCAGGGCTGGCTGGAGCAAAGGGAAGGCCCAGGCTGGCAGCTGCCCCCGCTCGGGCACTGGCAGCCATACCCACCAGGCAGCTCCACACACTGCAAGTGAGGCTGCAGGCAAGGGCTGCTCTTGCACACCTCGCCTTCGCTGCTGCAGGAGAGACCTGCCAAGCCGGGCTGACAATGGCAGGTGTAGTTCAGGTGTCCAGGAGTCCCGCGGCAGATCCACTCAGGTAGGCAGGGGTGCCCGGCACACACGTCGTAGAGGTCCTCGCAGTCTTTCCCCACATAGGCTGAGAGGTTCTGGGGACAGAGGCACCTGTAGCCATCTTCCAAGTCTTTACAGGTGCCTCCATTCTTGCATGGAGATGAGGAGCAGATGCTGACCAGCTCAGAGGAGACAAGCCCTGGAGATGGGGAGGAGAGGCAAAGGCAACTGTGAGGCAGCTGGACAGCAGGTGTTGGCGCAGTGTGCAAATGTGCTGCAAATCCTGGTGAGGAGCATTTTCTAGGGAAGGGCTGGGGGAGCGAGAGCTTGGTCCCTTGCTGTCTCCAGTAGCATTTGGGCAAATGCCTACATTGCAATTACTGGCAGCGCTGGTAGCAGTGGCTTGTGGGGGAAGAGGCGAGTGAGGTCAAAGATGTGGAGATGACAAGAGAAGAGGGTCCAAAGGGTCACAACCAAAATGGCAAATTCCAGGAGGATTCCTGTATGCGATGACTTGTATTTTTGAGAGTAGGTATAAACCTTTTGCTACACATGCCACTTGTAGAGACAAGGGTATGATTCTGACCTTTGTGTGGCATAGAGGTGAGAGTGTTTCACTAGGACTTGGGAGACCCAGGTTCAAATCCCTACTCACTGGGTGACCTTGGGCCTGTCATGCTCTCTCAACCTAACTTACCTCACAGGGTTGTTGTGAGGGCAAAACAGGGAGGGGGCAGAAACGGGTATGCTAACTTGAGCTGCTTTTGTACAGTTCTGATTACCTCACCTTAAAAAGGATATTGTTGAGTTGGAGAAGCTTCAGAAAAGGGCAACCAAAATGGTCAAAAGAATGGAGCAGCCCTCCTACGAAGGAAGGTTGCATCGTTTGGGACTTTTTAGTTTGGAAAAATGGTAAGAGATGACAAGATAGAAATTTATAAAAGTATGCATTGCATGGAGGGAGGATAAGGAAAAGTTTTTCTCCCTTTCTCCTAGCACTAGAACATGTGGACAGCCAATGAAGTTGAATGTTGGATGATTCAGGACAGATAAAAAAAGTCCTTCTTCACACAGCAGTTAAACTGTGGAACTCTCTCCCACAGGAGGCAGCGATGGCCACAAATTTGGATGGCTTTAAATGAGGATTAAACTAATTCATGGAGGAGAGGGCTAGCTTCCAGGTTGGATCTGTGGGTGGGTGGTATAGTAAGCGGATCCTTAATGAATTTTTTTTATTTAATAAACTTATATAACACTTTTTAAGCATTCCCTACCATCACCAAAGTGGTTTTCCAGCCGCATGACATATACATCCAACAAAACCAGGAAAGCAAAACCATAAATATACGACACAAAAATCTCAAAACAATTTTTTGAAAACATTACTAAAAGCAAAGAGTGACAACCCTAATCCAGCAAAATGTAAAAAAGGATCACCACTGGGCAAAAAGTGGGGGAGGCGGTGGGATGCCAGTGTCCTTCACTAGAGAGGATGTTCGTGAACATTTTAAACTGTCTTCGTTCATTGTTGGGGGCTTTGCAAACCCTCACTGCCCCTTCTCTTGAGAGGAGGAGCCGAAGGGCTCCCTTTGTCTGCCCTGCTGACACTTCTGCATCACCCCAAAGATGGTCTGCATAGTCAACTGTGTGGCATATGTGCCACCCTCCTGGTTGCCTGTGCAGATGCTTAGCCTTTCATGCATGCGCGCGCACACACACACACACCCGTTCCTGCCTGTTTTCAAGCCACATTCCTCCGTGAGCTACCTTTCACCCCGGAGTGGGGGGGGTTTCCAGGATGCAAGCTTCCGTTCCATCCCTCCGCCCCCGCCAGCCCAGCTCCATGTGACGCTGGGGAATGTGCTGCGCTCCACACAGCCCAGTGCACCCTTTTCATCAGCCCTTTTATTCTTGAATTCCCGCTCAGGCAGAAAAAACAGGAATGACGGAACATGCCTGGAATCCGCTGTGGCAATTAAGAGTGGGAAGCGCAGGCAAGCCTCTCTTAATGAGCAGCCAGGGAGCGCTTCGAACAGGCCTGCCCCCAAAAGGCACTGGCTGCTGCAGCCACAGAAGACATAGCTGGATGGGGTGCGCCTGGAAAGGACCCCCAGCTGCAGGTGGGGAATAAGGTGCTGAGCTACACCTGCTGCTGGGTGAAGGCTGGAGCCAGAGAGGCCAGCAGTGGCATCACCTGGATGCAGGTGACCACAGGCACCTGACAGAGGGCGGTTCTCTGTTTGAAGAGCTGCCCACTCCCAAGCCCAGTTTGAAGATCTAGAGCCCTAGAGATCAGGGCCAGCTCACTCATGAGGCAAGGTGAAGCAACCGCCTCAGGCAGCAGGGTGCACAAAGGCAGCAGGTCCTGATGTAGATCTTTATCCTCCCCCCCCCCCTTTTCCCTGATGTAGATTTTCACTCACCCCTTCCTCCCTGGTGTGGAGGGGGGACACCACTTTATGGTTTGCTCAGGTGCCAAACTGTCTTGAGTCAGGCCTGCAGTTGCCCTCTGGTCAGACCTCACCTTGAGTACTGTGTCCAGTTCTGGGCACCACAGTTCAAGAAGGACACTGACAAACTGGAACGGGTCCAGAAGAGGGCAACCAAAATGGTCAAAGGCCTGGAAACGATGCCTTATGAGGAACGGCTAAGGGAGCTGGGCATGTTTAGCCTGGAGAAGAGGAGGTTAAGGGGTGATATGATAGCCATGTTCAAATATATAAAAGGATGTCATATAGAGGAGGGAGAAAGGTTGATTTCTGCTGCTCCAGAGAAGCGGACACGGAGCAATGGATCCAAACTACAAGAAAGAAGATTCCACCTAAACATTAGGAAGAACTTCCTGACAGTAAGAGCTGTTTGACAGTGGAATTTGCTGCCAAGGAGTGTGGTGGAGTCTCCTTCTTTGGAGGTCTTTAAGCAGAGGCTTGACAACCATATGTCAGGAGTGCTCTGATGGTGTTTCCTGCTTGGCAGGGGGTTGGACTCGATGGCCCTTGTGGTCTATTCCAACTCTATGATTCTATGATTCTATTCTATGATCAATGGTGAGCGTCAGCAGACTGAACAGGCCCACAGCTTGCCTGGTCACAGTCCTCCCCACTAGGGCGAGATGTATTGCATTTCTGTCAAAATCACGTTGTTCTTTCTAAAACTGCATGTGCAAATCTGTCTTTTCAATGATACATTTTCTCTCTTTGGTGATGCATAACTGCTCCTCCAGCAACCAGGATGGTTCAGGAAGGGAGAGGCAGTAGGACTAGCCAGCAAATCAAAGTCTGGTACCAGTCAGAGCACAGATTCACCTTCCTAAAGCAGAGGGGTGCTTCTCTCCTCCCCCCGGGGCAGTCCAAGGGGAGACGGGGGACGGTCCACCCTTCCAAAGGGGCGGGGTGACAAAATGCCGACCCCCCCGATCGGCGGCACCCCCTGAGGCGCGCCACACCCCACATGGGCGGCACACCATGCCCTCGGGCCACGCCCCACGCCCAGGTACCAGAGCAGGTTGCTTCACCTCTGCCCCCCCCTCACATCTTCTTAGTTGCAATCCCTAATCCCAGATATCAGGTCTGATTGTGATTATTCAATGGGTAGGAAAAGTATGCTTTCCACAGCTTTAGGTGCTGCTGCTGCTGCTGCTGCTGCTGCTGCTACGAACAGGTTCAATGCCTCTGCTAAAATTCACCCCTGCATTGTGCAAATGCTGAGAGAAACTGCACTATTTGTTCACACATTCTGGTGCTGTTAAACAGGTTGCAGGCTGAGTCCTGGACTGGGTCTAGTTTTGTTTAGCTCTGGCCAGAACAGGGTGCAAGATGTACTGTTTAAGGTCTGGGCAGTGTGACTCAAGGTAGACCCCTACAAGCAATAACCCTGCAGAAACCATGCAGGGAGCAGAACCACAACCATAACCAAAGATCACATCCAGGGCCTGTGAGAAGAGCTTCTTCATTTGTCTCTACATTAGGCACACAGCACCCTGCAAATCCAAAGCCAGTTGCACAGCCATGTACATACACGCCTCTCTCTTGGGAAGCAGCACTGAGGACTGTCAGGGACCATGGGAAATACATAAATAAAACACAATGAATAAAGTCACATCATAAATGCCCTGCTTTGTTCTTGAAATGAGACGTTTGCATCCGAGAACTCACCCTTTTCCATAAACTCTGCTTTCAGCCTTTGAAGTGGTCTGGCCTATGGGCTCAGGCTGTTATTTTATTAATGAGTGCCATGAATACGTACCATGCATAATTGGCACAATGCCACAATTAGCCGCTGCTCCTTAAACGGCTCAGAGATGGGAAGTCTGCTGCATTAGGGATGTGATGTGTGGCCATCTTCTCCTGCATCAATCTGCACAGGATTTGTTTCTGCCGAGTCCTTCTCAGAGTGCCACCACCATCAGAAATTGAACGGGTGGCAGCAGGAGAGGAGCCTACTTCTCTGTGACCTACAGGGGCTGGCAGCACCTCCCCAGGGTTTCAGGAAGTGGTCCTACTGGGGGAGGCTGAGGGTGGAACCTGGGACCTTTTGCACGCAGAGCGAATGATGCTCCTCTGCCACTGAAAGGTGTGTGTCAGGTTATTTTTTTCACAGATCAGATGGGGAATGAGACCATATTATCAATACTGTAGATGAGTGATCAACTCCAGCGTCTGGTTTAAAATATGTGATAAATTTGGAAAGCGCTTTTAATTCTGTTCTCCTGTAGAGTTTTAATTGTGCAATTGTATTTTACTGTAATTCTCAATTGGGAAACTCCCTGGGATATATTATAAAGGCAAACACATAAAATAATTTTTTTTAATGTGTTGGAACTACAGGAATGTCTGGTTTTCTTTAAATTATTGTTATTTGTTTGATTCCCCCCCCCCGTCTCTTCCTCCCAAGGAATCCAGGAAGACTATACAAAATGTGGTGATGTTTTAATTATTATTTTTGTTAACTTAGATGAAGTTAACAAAAATAATAATTAAAACATCGCCACATTTTAAAACAACTGAAAAGATATATGTAATGCCAAATGTCCAGCTGCTGAAAAGTGACCACTGTCTTGCACAGATGCTGCAATCATTGGTCTTCAGGGAAGGCCAACACCTTGACCTCTTGCTCTATGTTTTTATGAGAAAACAGCACTAGAGGATCCCACTACCTTCTTCCAGAGCGAATGCCATGCACATTTGAGAAGGGAGAACT